GCAATCATTTTTATATGACGCAAAGGTGGTAGCAACCATCATCAAAAGTTGCAGCCGGTATCCTTAATTCTTATTGGTGTTTACAATTAAATATTTAACACTTATTTTATGAATTCAGTTTAGTGATTTCATGTTATAATTTAATTTAATACTTATAAAAAGAATTGATAATAATTCAATAGCTAAATAAAAATGCTGAAGTCAAAAATAACTGCTAAAAGAACTTGCAATGCTATCAGTGTTAAATTAAAGAAAGAAATTTGTGAATATATGATGGTTCATCAAAGTGTTAAACATGCTGATGTTGCCTCTTTCTTTAATAATAAATACAAATAACTAAATATTGATATTGATAGAACAAGTATTTCCAAAATATTTAAAGATAAAGATAAATGGCTGAATTTAGTTTCTGATACAATTGGATTAGACAAATTTTGTCAGTGTTCAACAAGATTTCCTGAATTTGATAAAGCAATGCAAATATGGACTGCACAAATGGTTTCTGCCAGAATGCCTTTAAGTGATTTAATTTTACAAAGAAAGGGGGGATTTGCAAGAGGATTAAATATTGAAAACCAAATAAAATGTGCAAATGGTTGGATATATAAATTCAAAAAAAGAAATGGTTTACATAAAATTAAATATTCTGGTGAGGCTAATAGTGCTCCACTCCAAATTCTTCCTGAAGAACGTTCAAAATTGCGATTTATTTTAAGTCAATATAATGAAGATATCTATAATGCTGATGAGATGGGAATTTTCTTTAGGATGCTACCCAACCAAACATTAAGTACTGGCCCAATTTCAGGATATAAAAAAGTAAATTTATTGATTCATTAGTTCTAAAATTTGGTTTGCAAATTTTTTTAAAAATTAAGGATAAAAGTTGTCTTTCAGTTTTACTTTGTGCTAATGCAAGTAGTCACAAATTTGTTCCTTTAGTGATTGGAAAATCTCAAAACCCACGTTGCTTTACAAATATTAATAAATCTACACTACCTGTTACTTACCATGCAAATTCAAAAGCTTGGATGAGATCTGACATTTTCATTGAGTGGCTCAATTATCATGATAGATTTTTTTGTGCAATGGACAGAAAGGTTGTTCTTCTAATTGATAATGCTGGGTCACATTTTAATCCAAAGCAACTTGAACAATCTAATGAAAACTCTACCATTGTCAATGATCACAATGAAGAAATTATAATTATCAATGAAGAATCAAGTTCATGTTCTGATAATGAAGAACCAATTGCAGAATCATCTCAGTTGTCTCAAAGAAGAAAAACCAACATTGGTCAAACACAAAAAAAAAGGGAAGAAAAACACCAAATATTAATCTTACAAATATTAGACTTATTTATATTCCTCCTAACACCACTGCACACTTACAGCCAATGGATGCTGGTATCATCCATAGTTTTAAAGCTAAATACAAACATGAATATTGTAAATATTTAATTCACCATTTTGATAATGGAACATATAATCAAAGGTATGTAATGATATAATTAATAATCAATTATCAGATTTTTTTAAATCATGTAAATCAAGTATACTAATCACTTATATTTAGAGATAAGCTGAATGTAAAAGAAGCTATTTATTTTATTGCTGAGGCTTGGAATAATGTCACTGAAACAACCATTCAAAATTGTTGGATTAAGACAGGAATTCTCCCAAACAATAATGATATCATTATGGTCGATGCAAATATTCAAGATTCAGAGCTTGATGATAATGATAATGACATTATTATATTACCAGATGCTGATGATGTAAATGAATATTTTGATAGTTTTGATCAAAATGTACCAACTAAAGAATACCTTAATGATGAAGAAATTATAAGTCTTGTCCAATTTGAAAAAATGGGCAAAAATGGTAATGATTCATCATCAGATGAAGAAATACCTTTGATACCAGTAAAAAATGCAATTAATGGTTTAGAAACATTTATTAATTTTTTTGAGCAACAGAAAAACAATGAAAAATTTAAAATTGATGATTTGCACATTTTTAGAAAATAGGTATTGTCAAACTTATGGAACCAAAGATCCAAAAAAGCATTTATGCATATT